TTCAAAAATCGTAGATTATATTTTTTTTTATTTATATATGTATTTAATTTTTATTTAAAAAAATTATATAAATAATAATAATAACTAATAAAGAAATATAAAACTAATTTGATATTTTTGAGCACAAAAAATAACAATAATAATAATGGTAATGGTAGGAGAGTCAAAAGGAAGTCGGTTGAGCCGGTCGGGTGTTCCGAAGTCGGTTGAGAAGGTCGGGTGGCACACAGGTCGGGTTACACATAGGTCGGGTGAAGTGAAGTCGGGCGAAGGAGGAGAAAAGGTATGCATTCAGGTCGGGCGAAGATATGCATTCAGATCGGGTGACATATAGGTCGGGCGAAACAAGGTCGGGCGAAGAAGGAAAGAATATGAACTCAGGTCGGGTGACATATAGGTCGGGCGAAACAAGGTCGGGCGAAGAAGGAAATAATATGCACTCAGGTCGGGTGACAGATAGGTCGGGCGAAGAAGGAAAGAAGATGCACTCAGGTCAGGTGACACATAGGTCGGGCGAGACAAGGTCGGGCGATGAAGGAAGAGACGGAGGTCGGACCAAATGAGGTCGGGTGAAACGGCTGATACGGAGGTCAATTGGTCGCCTAATTAAGTGAATAGTAGTTCAGTAGCTTGATTGGGGCGACCATTGAATCGTTTGGACGAATGGTTGTACAATCGATTGAAGAGACTAGATGGTGGTCGCTTGATAAGGCGACCAATGAGTCTTTGGACGAATGGTTGTTCAGCCGATTGAAGAGACCAGATGGTGGTCGCTTGATAGAGCGACCAATGAATCGTCTGGACAAACAGTTGATCAACCGACCGAAGAGACTAGATGGTGGTCGCTTGATAAGGCGACCAATGAGTCTTTGGACGAACAGTTGATCAACCGACCGAAGGGACCAAATGGTGGTCGCTTGATAGAGCGACCAATGAGTCATCTGGACGAACAGTTGATCAACCGTTTGAAGGGACTGGATGGTGGTCGCTTGATTGGGCAACCAATGAAGCAGTTGGTCTAGCGACCAGATAGAATCTAGATTGGTCAGTTGGTCACTCGTTGGGTCATACGGTAGGTTCAGTCGGTCCTGCAATCCGTCTAAAGTGTTCAGAGGTGGTTGGCCGATCCAGTTGAATGATGCAACTGGCGCAAGCGGTTGGTGAAACGGTTAAGACACGTGTCGACAGAAGAGAACCTTGTGGGCGGTTGACGGCGGTTGCTGTAAGACGGTTGAGAAAAGTTTCAACTGGTAAGCGGATAGGAAAGCACGATCTGGTCGTGGTGGTTGGCATGGGTTTTAAATAGGTCTGTTCATGACCTACAAAAACCATCTTCAATCGACATCAAATTCAAGAAAATTGCTTTTGAGGATCACCATTTACTTTTCATTCTGTAGTTTTTATTTTTCTTAGTTTACTTATGTACCCTACAGTCTAGAGATTCTTAATCTCAGGCATTTATTTTATCAAATTCGAAGATATTTCCTATTTTCGGATTTTATTTTGTTTTGTTGAAAATCGACATCAACAGATATATTGAATGATAATATAATACTAAAATTATAAAATTAAAATTAATAATCTACAATATAGTAGTGTTACAGATGTTACACTATTTCTACATTATTAATAATTATATATTATTTATTAATATTAAATTTAATTTTATTTATAATTATATATTATATTTATAAAATTTGTATTGGATATAAATTTATATAATTAAAAAAAGATTATTTTACAATCCTACAAAATTCATATAAATCCGCATAAATCCATAGACTTTTTAAAATCCAAAAAAATCCATTAAAATCTCAATTGAATTCACCATCTTATATAATTTTTAAGTTATTTATAATAAAAATATATTAAAATTTTGATGTATATATTTTTTTGTACCAAAAAAATTATTTACTTTTTTATTATAAAAAATATCTAAATTTTTTAGTTTATTAAAAATTTTGGTATGATCTAATATCATTCTGAATTTTTTTACTATGATATCAATATATATTTGATATTTTCAGTATATATTAAAATAATTTTGGTATTTTAATATTCGGTAAATTGGTATATACAAATATTTCAATATTAAATTACGAAATAATCATTAAAAAAAATCTCACTTATTTTAACAAATATTCTTATTTTATCATTATATTATTACCTTTTATATAAAAAAAAAAATTATCTTTAAACTACTTTTAACCTTCCACTATGATTAAAATATTATTATCTTTTAAACTTGAATTAAATATATTTTTTTTTACTGAACCAATTAAGTATCATTTTTTTTATTAATATTTAAAAAATAATAATATCAATATAAGTGTGTTAGTTAACAAAACTATTTATTATAAATAAATTCCGCATAAATTTTACTAATAACTAAAATTTTTTTAGCATAATTAGAACTAACGGAAATAATACTCCCTCCGTCCACAAAAAAAGTATATAATTATTTTTGGCGCGGTGTTTAAGAAATAATAGTATTTTAATTATAGTGGGTAGTTAAAAGTAGTGTAATGACATTTTTGCCATTGCTTTTTGGTGTAAAAGTAATGATGTGATGTAAAGTAGGGGTATTTGTGAAAAAAAGTAAGATATTTAATGAAATGTTTACTTTGTAATTGGACGTCCCAAAATAGAAACATGTATACTTTCTAGTTGGACGGAGAGAGTATATCATAAGAGTTAAAATTATTTATTTATTTATTTATAAAATACTAAAATTATATTTAACAAAAAATGATAACAAAAAATAAAAATTCCTTTTTATAATAAAAAAAATAAATAGAAAATAATATTTTTATTTATTAAAAAGGAAATAATAATTGTTGATTGATTTTTTTTCAACAAAACAAAGTAAAATTCGAAAATAATATTCGAACTTGAATAAAGCTTTAATTGTAACACAAAGCAGTAAATTGCATGAAAAATTAAAAGATGATCCCCAAAAGAAATTTGCAAAGGAATTGACTTTTTCTGAAATTTGAAGATTCTCCAGAAAAATCCAAATCCTTAAATATCCCTTAAAGAAAACGTCTGAACCGTCGTCCGAACGGTTACCGCAATCACTCCCAATCGCATACCAAGTCTTCCTCTATCGACACGTGTCCCAACTGTTTCACCAACCGCTCCTGTTAGTTCCCGACCCAAATGGCTTGGCCGACCGCCTCTGGGCGCACTACATCCTTAAAAGGACGGCCGGTCCCAAATGACCACCCAACAGCCTCACAATACCTTATACGGACTGCAAGTTAACCAACCGCCTTGAAAAGTCTCTTAGCCGCCTGATGGGCCAGAGACGGGCCCACATTCTCCTCCTATTCTGGGCCATGTGCGTAACAATAATATTTATAAATGATAGATAAAAAAAAAATTAAACGTAACTTTGAATAATAATATTAAGGGATTGTTTGGTTCATGGACTTTTTTTTTGTGGGATTGAGATTTCACAGCAGGATTTATATGTGATAGGATTTATTATATTTAGGATTTGGAATTCTATCATATGTTTGGTTAGTAAAATTATGTGGTATTTATATTTCTCACGTCTTATTTGTTTTTTATATGAGCAGAAGGATTTTGATTTTTTATATTCTAAATGACATAATTGTCCCCCTATGAATTTTATTTATTTTGATAAATCAAACATCTAATTTATAATAAATATAAATTAAAAATGTATTAATAATTTTATAGGGATTACAATAGGTTATCGTAAACTCGAAACCCGACTTGAACCCGACCTATTTATTTGAAGTTGAGTCCAATTATTTGAGTATTAGATCTGGATCCGAGTCATATTATGGGTATTCTAATCGGGTCCGAATCGGGTCTAGGGTATAAGCGGACCATACCCGCACCCAGATTCGATTTATAATATTAATAATATATCGACTATACATATGAAAAAAAAAAAATTTCTAACAATATAATTACATTAATTTTTTTTAAGTTTAATTTATTTATTATTTTATTATAATATATTTTTCATAAAATACATAAATAATATATATTGGGTCGGTACATGTGTAATTTTAAATTAAAATTTAAGAATCGTAAAAAGAATTGGATTTGTTAGATCCATCGGATTTTACCGGGTATAGTTTTGGCCGGATATGGTATAATCAGATCCAATTTGGATCTAAAGTCTAACAATATATATATTCGGGACGGATCTCAGTTTCGGCTGAATCCGACTATTGTCATTCTGATAATTTTATAATTTAAATAAACTTATAATAAATAACAATTTAAAATAATGAATTTATTAATTTATTTAAAAAATATTTTACCATAAAAAATAATAGTATTAATTTAATTTAATATATAATTCAAATAAAAATTAATTTTAAAATTATTTAATTTAATTTTATATAAATATATTTATAATATATAATATATATTTTTTTATATATATAAAGATATAAAAGTAAAATTTAAAATTCATGGAATAGGATTTAAAAGTAATAGACCCCATTACTAATAAATTCCTAATTTGTAGGATTTTTAACCATGTTTTAAAATCTCATCATTTTAAATTCTATTATTCTTTTTTTAACTAAACATAGATTTCATGGGATTTCAAAATCCAAATTCCATAAAATTCTGTCAAATTCTTGAAACATACAGCCCTAAGGGAGGATTGAATCGGTTACTTAGTTGACCCTTGGATTCAATTTATAAGGGGCGATCATCTCCCGCGGGGAATCAAATTGGGCATTCAGGTCAAAAGAAACTGCCCCGTCACCATCAGTCCACCCGCACGTAAGCCGTAGGACAAACTTTCCAAAATTCAACTGTTTTTTAATCGTTCATTCTTATAACGACACGTGTCCACTCAGCTGACCAATAACACGATTCTAACCCGTTATAGCCAATAACGCGCTCCCCAGCGCGTGGCTGGAACTCAGATTTCCTCGCAGGTCCAAATGCACGTCTTAAACGAGAACTCAAGAGCCCCTCCCTCCATTCCCATTCCCAACGATCACACATTGCCATCACCAGCTTTTTTGCAGTGTTCAAAATTTTGACATTCATCAATCGTCGTATAATTCGCATAAACACGCAATATATATATATATATATTTTCTCGGCGGAATTAAGCAGTAGCAGCAGATATCTAATATATACAGGGTTTTCCCGCATTTTGGTCGTGTTCGATCGGAGGAGTTTTGGGTGAGAATGGCCACATGGAAGCGATTTAGAGGCGGCGGCGACGGGGCGCCATTGGTAGAGCGCATTTCGTCGTCTCGAACGGTTCGTCTCGGAAATGTTCAGCCGCAGGCGCCAGGTCATAGGACGGTGTTTTGCAATGATCGTGAGGCCAATGCCATCGCGAAATTCAAGGTTTCTCCGTCATACTTCGATCATTACCTGCGTTTTTTTGCGTTGATTTGTTTGTTTAGGTACATTTTGATTTGCTTTCACAATATTGTGTTGTAGATACATATATATATATATATATATCTATCTTTGATTAGCTTTGTTGTGTCTTCAATGTGTCTTATGGCATTCTGGTATCCTTCTATATATTTATATCGAGGAGTAGATATCTAAATTGGTGGTTTTATTTGACAATTTCTCTACATTATGGAGGTTTCAAACCAATTTTTAGGTTGTCATCAATACCATTCTTACTACTTACGTAGATTTAAACTTTGGGGTCTGGACAGATTAAGATGTGAATCATCATCCTTCTTCAATATTTGCCCACATATAGCATGGAAGTTGGTAAACTCGTTATTGGGGATACTCTAATTTGGTGGTATTTTTTAATATACCTTCTCGATGTACTGTCTGACTGTAGGTCCTCTTTATTCGTTTTTTATTGCTAATAGTTTTAATTTCGGAAAAAACAGAGAAATGTTAAAAGAACATTAATGAAAGAATGTGTAGTAGAAAAACTCTGCTATTGCATTGAATATGTCACTGCAAAAACACTTTTATTGACTGCTATAATTTATGTAGTGTTTGCAGCTCATATTTATAATGAATATATAGAAGTGATCTGAACATGAAATGGTCTCTCATTAGTCAGAGTTTATGTGTATGGTATCTTATCTTGCGATTGAGAGTATGACTTATGAATGTAGTGATCGGCTTATATGCACTGGTTATGTGGAATTGTCTCAAAAATAAATAAATAAAAGAAAAAGAAAAAGAAAATAAAAGCAAAGAAAAGGGATACCCTGGAATTTGATTTCAAGCATCTTATTTTGTCCGAGTATTTTGTGATAGAGGCGTATTATCTTTCTTCCTGGACAATCAACTGAGATGATTATATATATCTTCCCTACCTTAAACACTTTGAACAAATTGTGAAACCCTCTAATATTTTCCATCTTAGATGCCTGAACAATATGGAATCTCTTGTAAATAAGATAAAGAACTTATCTAGCTGGTGGTGTAATTAGCATTATATACCTTTCAGGGCAATTCTGTGTCCACGACAAAGTATGACGTCTTTACGTTTCTACCCAAGGGGCTATTTGAATAGGTAATTCTTTTGTTGTTGTATTTGTACGATGAAAATTTTTGTTATAAGTTACTACAAATTCTTTTGATATTATATTATTGCTCGATGAAAACTGTGTTGGAATCTATGTCGAGATTAAACTAATGGCTGTGTTGCAATAAGTATAGAATCCATCAAAATGTTCAAACACAATTTATGTGAAAGTTGGGATCTCTCACTTTCTCTGTCCCCAACTGGAGAAGTTTCTCTGTGTCTTGGGACAGGGTTGTTTAACCATAGATGGTGCAAATGATTGAAAACATTCTCAAGAACCTAGACGGAGTGAGTTTTCATTTAAGTAATTGAGGAATTAGTGGAGGAACTCAAAGAGGATGACCTTAGAGCACGATGGGAGGAATCTTGGAGGAGCTGCTTAAAGAGATTAATATTACAGGGTTTAGAATTGCCCTCGGAACTGCATGGAAAAGAAATGGCCAATGGGGAAGCTCCGACTAGCATGCGAGGGATCAATGGTGATGCTAAGAACATTTAAAACATTTTAGTGTAACCATTTTAATTTGGGCCTGTGAGTGTGAGTTTACTCTCATTGGAACAAATAATTGCCTTACCCTACAAAGAATAATAACTTCTACAACCCAATCAATACCTCGAATTCCATTTACTTGAAAGTATCAAACATGTATTTGGATTTCCTTTCTCTTCAGTAGCCTTTCTTTTGAGCAGCCCTTTTATTCTTGCTTTTGTTTATTATTTTAGCAGCTGAATAGTTATATCAATTAGTGTAATGGAGAAGTTTTTATCTCAAGTCACAAGCATTATTAATGAACAGAGTGTGACATTAACCATTCCTTGGAGTAGTGTGACTGCAATTTTGTCTCAGAATTTTGTATGAGAATGCATTTCTTTGACTTAGTAAGCTGTTTGACAAGGGCCTTCCTTGATTACATCTTGTAGATGACAGTAGTAGGAAATCTAATTTATGTACTTCTGGCTTTGTGTTCTGCTCTTTCAGTTTGTTTGCTTTCTTCTCTCTATGTGGTTTTGCCTGATTTACTCCCGTTTAATTTACATTGACAGTTCAGGCGGGTGACTAACCTATATTTTCTCATGATCTCGATCTTGTCTTGCACCCATGTAAGGTATGTTACTATAATACCATTGATCTGCTGAGGCTTGAACCACTCTGGCTGTTTATATTAATTCATAAATTGTTTGGTAGAACAAGGTTGCTGAAATTGGGCTATAGGGAATCCTGAATTATTTGCTCTGAATCAAGCAGCAACATGAATAAATTGACCTATAGAACTTTAATCCTACCAGGGAAATAGCCATTAAGATTATGTCTTTAGGGAAATTTATCTGTCTTGAACATTCAGTCGAAACAACTTCAAATTCCATGTATTCTGTTTCTGTAGTGACTGTCTAGTCATAAAGTTTGAAATTTAGGAGAAAATTGACCTCAAACTAAACAGTAAAGTTGTTATGTATTAGTTTCTTTAAGGATGCTTGGGGCGACTGAAAATGAATTTTTTTGTATGTATGTATGTATGCGCTTATTCTGTGTGTTCTATCTAGTTGACTACGCACGCTTCATCTTTTCGGCTTTCAGAGCATCAGTTTCTCGTTTATTGACTTATTTAATATCAATCATATATGAACTCTATATTGAAGAAATGTGGGAGTTAACTCTATATTGAAGAAATGTGGGAGTTTACTAGCTATTTTCTTGCTTTCCTCTTCGATGCTATATGCCTTGGATTTGATTAAATTCATATTTCAAGCAGCCCCTGTAAGTCCAATTACAAATGTGCTTCCATTGACATTGGTGCTTCTTGTATCTCTCATAAAAGAAGCATGGGAGGACTGGGTGAGTATTAGCTTATTTCCTGTACAAATGAAACATGCAAACTTAAACATTCTCACCCTTTTTTTCTTTGTATTATTTTATACATGGAAGAAACGTCGTCAAAATGATACATCAATCAATAATTCCATTGTAGAAGTGTTGCAAGATCAGACGTGGGTATATTGTCCTTGGAAGAAACTGCAGGTTGGAGATATAGTCAAAGTAAGTTGGCAAGTTTTATTTTCCTTTTGCCAGATATGCTTCATGCTCTTGTTTAGCGTAGATCAAAAGTCTTGTGATGCATGACATATGTCTATACTGGCTATCTTAGCGAAAGTTGTCAACTATCTCCTAGTTATTATATTATTGGCATGTCTGAAATTACTGGATGTAGTGATTGTAGGTCTATAAACTAATGCACAAAAGTGAGGCAAATGACAATGAACCGGGTAGCTTGAGAGCCAAGCTTGACCTGGCTCTTCAAAAGCTGACACAACTTGTTTATAAAGATTCGTTTATAAATATAGACGGTTCGAGCTCGAGAATTATTAATTTGTAAATGAGCCAAAGTTTGATTGAGATGGTGTCTTTGTATTATTTTATGTATTGATATAATATATGTTAATCTTTGTATCAAAACTTGCAATTATTAGTGAACTTTGTTAATATAACTAGATTTATTTAATTTACGTACTAAAGATATATAATATATATTTAAAATTCGATTCGAACTCGAACTTGAGTTCGAGCTTTGAGATCTGAGCTTAAACTTGAAGTCGAGCCTAGCGAGCCGAACTTCAACCACCACTTTAGCTCGAACCCTATATAAGTTGAACCGAACCTATACCGATAACATGTTTGAGTCGAGTTTAAACAACATGTACTCAAGCCGTTTAACAGCTCTAGTCACCCTAGAAGAACCACACACTTATGTTAAATTAGCACTGATCTATAGCAGTTATAAATTACTAGAACAAACAGTTGGGGGCCTTGGGGGTGGAGAGGGATAAGGCAATTTCAAAATATTATGTGCTCAGTCTCTTCTTGCACAAAACCAACCTAGTATCTAGTACATTAATTTAGAACCTCATATTGTTGTAGTCTGTTGGTGCTAGCTAATACTCCTTTTGTCCATGATGCTTATGCCGCATTGTGTAGGTACGGAGGCTAAGAAATAATGACATTTTAATATAAAAGTGAAGTAGATAAAAGTAAAGTCGGATATTATAAGGAAGTTTATTGAAATATTGATAAAATGGTGATGTGAGAAGTAGAAAAAGTAGTGACAAATTGGTTATTATTTGTTAAAGTAAAAGTAATAAAGTTGTAGGTGAATAAAGTTGTTTACTATAAATGAATTGTGCATATGTTTAGTGGACAATCAAAAAAGGAAACCTGGCATAATTATAGCGGACGGAGGGAGTATGAATTAAACTAATGAACATGCGGTGGATGCTTTATCAGTCTAGATTGAATATATGTTTATGATGACTAAGCAGAATTTTGATTGTAAGGATGCAGGTAACCTAACAAAGCCATAATGCTCGTGAAACTACTTATGAACTTTTTTATGTGATTTATGCATATGACTACCTTTTCTTGTTTTTTATTATTAAGCCTGAAGTTCTGATAGGTGACTATTTGTTTAGTCTCAGGTGAGGCAGGATGGTTTTTTTCGGGCTGATTTGCTATTCCTTGGCGGCACGAACCTTGATGGTGTCTGCTACATTGAGTTTTTTTTCCTATGTCCTACTGCAATATATCCTTTATTAAGTACTAAAAAAGAGGTCCATAACTTTTGATACCAATGGATTCAATGATCTTATGCCTTATTTAATTATTATTATAAATTTTAAATTTCATTTTTCTTGTTTTATGTATGTTAAGAGATCAAATCTCAATCTTTTTTAGGTTGAGTCCTCCATATCATCGAAATGGCACCTTTTTCTTTTTTTTTTTTTTTTTTTTTCTTTTTTTTCCTTTTTATTTATTTATTTTTGTAGACGGCAAATCTTGATGGTGAAACCAATTTGAAGATACGGAAAGCATTAGAAAAGATATGGGAATATATCACCCCTGAGAAACTTTCTGAATTTAAACTAATAGAACATGATTTATTCTGCAGACATTTCAAGACAAACTTAAGTCCCCTGTGCTACCCTCCGACATTTCAAGACAAACTTCTTTCAAGATTGGTTGCAAATTCCCAGATCTTATTTCTATTAATAGTTTTTATATCTCATCATATATATGTGTATAGTTGTTATGTATTCATCTCATACATATATATATATATGCCTAAACACTTTTTGTGATAGGCAAGGCACTGAACCTTTCTTTGATGAGTTTGAAAAAAAAAAAATGGTTTGAGTTTAGTATAAAATTAATGTTTGATCGATGTTTTATAAGATGAAAAATATTTTTTTCGAAAAATATAGAGTTCAAATAGTAAATTTTGAAGAAACTTAGCTAAAGAAAAATACCCTAAAATATCTAAGAGGATGAGACAATATTTTAAGATAAAGAAATGGAAAGAACTATGGAATGCAGTAATTAATTAATGTTTAGAAGTATTTACTTGTAAGATTATGTTGAAAGTTGATACTTGAGCCCTATTATGTCTTCCTCTCTCTGTCTTTATATAGATACATATACTACAACATAAATACATAAATCCGGTACGGGTGCATTTGTTTGTGGGTTTGGAGTTTTGACTTTAGATTTTTGAATAGTAAAAAGTTAATTTGAATAGTTATTTGATATGATATAAATATATATTGATACGATGTTTTGATTATAAAATAAATTTTTAAGTATAAAATAAAAAAGAAAAGTAAATGTTTGATTTGATATTTTTGAAGAAAAAAAAATTAAATAATAAAAATCTGACATAAAACCCTTAAAAGAACACAAATTGTTTTGTGTGCTTAACTGTGCTAAAATGCTTAGGAAGAATATGTGTACATCTTGGTATTTTTAAGACTTTTTTCAGTCATGGGTGAAACACACCATTGACTCGCATTTACAAAGATTTCGGAACAAAATCGATTTGGAAGGTGGACGATGCTGTTCATGTCAATTTGGAATGATTAAAAAGAAAATTATTGTAATACACTTTATTACTATTGTGTTGTTCGAACTTATTATTGTTTTCTTTTGAAATTATTTTTGTGATATTCAAAAATAATTATTGTGTTTTTTCTATTATGCTCTCAACTGTGTTACTCTAATTAGTTATAATATTTATTAAGCAAAATTGTCCATAACTCTCATGTGGTTTCGAAACTCGGCGTAAATTTTTCCTCTATTTTAAAAATTGCATGACGCCCCTTATACTTTAAAAAATGTTGCATGAAACTACTTTGCGGTTTCGAAACTTAGCATAAATTCCCATTTTATTTAAAAAATTGTATGACGCTCACTTATATTTTCAAAAATATTGTATAAAACCCCCTGCCATGCAAAACATATAGATAGAAAATTTGTGGGGGTTTCATGCAACGTTTTTTAAAGTATAAGGGGTACCGATTTTTAAAGTACTGGGAGATTTTACGCAAATGAAAATAATGACAATTCCAAATTCAAAATAATCCTCGGACCTTATTTGTAAGGTCTGAATTTTAAAATCACATGGAAGTTATAAGCAATTTTACCTATTTATTATTATTATTTATAAACTATTACTGTAATTTTGTATTGTTAATTAGCATTACCTAAGTACTACTTCACTTATCACTAGTTTTGGACGCTTAGAGAAAATTTTATTTTAATACTATTTTGTTCTGTCAAATTTATTCTTATTTTAATTCTTCGTCCGTTAAATTTACTTAATTATTATATTTTGAAAAGTAAAAAATCTATATTTGATAATTACTCTTTATTCCGTACTTATTTACCAATTTTATTACATTGTATATCTTCATTTTTTTTTAATTACTAACTAAAATTTCAAAAATATTCTTAATTACTTTTTTACTTTTTTTTAATAATATATATATATTTTTTATTTCTCATGTTGAGCCTAAATGAGCTAAATATGGCTGATGGAGAAAGTCTATTTTATTATTACTATATAACTCGTGAAAACTAACATGACGATAACCGGCATGAGATAATTAAGTTTGGTCAAGAGTTTTGATTTAATTATATATATGAGTTCAGGTCAGGGTTATGATTGATTGATTTCACCTATTTAAAATATATAACTAGATACAATTGACCAATTGCCGGGTCTAATTACTTCTTTTCTATTAAAATAAATTTTGTGCTATTTAAATATTATTGTTGTTTTATCTCATAATTAATGTTGTGTTCTCATGAAATAATTGATTTTAAATCTTAATATATTTTAATATATTTTTTATTATTTTCATATTATTACTATAATTTATTATTATGCCTTTTAAAATTATTATTATATTATTTTGAAGTAATTTGTGTATTTTTAAAATATCATTACTGTATTCTTCATAATCATATTGTGCTTTCTTAAAATAATTATTATATTTTTATGAAATTCCAATATTAATATTTTCTTTATGTCTATAAATGTGATTTAATTTATTAATTATAACTTATTAGAATCTCAAACTTATTATTATTATTATTATTATTATTATTATTATTATTATTATTAATTTATGAATGTTGGTTAAAAAATGAATTAATTCTTTTAATTTATTACAAGGAATCATATATAATTTAATTAAAAATATTATTATTAAATAATTAAAATATTGAACACAAATAATAAAAATATTTTATTACTGTATTTATAAATTAATATTGTGTTCCTTTGTAGCAACATTGACGTTACTGTCTCATTATTATTATTTTTTTTAAATATAAAATTAATTCTCTTAAATTATATTTCTTTAGCCCCTGCTATATTATTTTTTACTGTAAATATGATAATTAAAAACGAGATAATTAGTAATTAATTAAAAATATATTATAATTAATATTAATTTAATTAAAATAAAAAATATAAATTAATTTTTTTTCAAAATAATATTTATAATTTTTTTAAAAAAAATAACATAGAAAAAATGAAAACGAGGGCCTAGGTGCTTACAGTGCGCCCTAAGAAGATACGTATTTACCACAAAGCCCTTGTCCATTCTATGTAGTCGTTCGATATCTTCGACTCTTTCGATTCCCCACGCTCCTCTGTTTCAGAAAATTAATTTTTGCGATTTTCTCTGCATATTTTCAGGTTGGCTGCTGTCCAGTTCTTGTGCTTACTGTTTGGAAAAGCTCTCCACCTTTTACTGATTTTGATTTGTTTGCTCTGATAATTGTTTCGCTGTTTTTATGATCTGCGTGGGCGATAGATCTGCGTTTAATTCTTGAATTACATCGCAGTCTTTCTGCATTCTGAATCCGGAAAACGATTGAATTTTGTGGCGGCGATTGCGCGTTTTTCTATTACTAATTACCCGCTGTCAGGGTTGAATCAATGCGTGCGGTCAATGATTGCTTTTTGCGTGCGCTGGATTTAGATGCTCATTGAATTGTCCTTTGAAATTTCTGATTTAAGTAGAAAATGGATGATAAGAGGTGTTAAACGCGGCCAAATCTGTATTGTAATTGATTTGAAGTGAAGGCTATCAACTAGAACTAGAAATAATCTGAAATCTTCACAATTTTTTCATCAGGCTGGGGGAATTGATTCTATATGGGTGTTATCAAACTGTTATGCAACAATCCGTCAGTTCTCGGGGAAAAACCAAAATTTGGTACCAATTGTTGTTCGTTGAGACTCGGTAGTGCTACCTGTATGACTCCATCCTCCGCCTCCAGCTCGGTCTCTGCAGTTCCGACAAAAGATGACACTCAACAGCAGCGTGGCTCTGCGGTGACTGGGGACTCATTTATTCGGCCGCATCTCCGTAAATTATCTCCTTATCAGCCAATCTTACCTTTTGAGGTTACTGTTTAATCTCCTTCATATTGATTTGTATTATTGCTTGCTTTACATAGTTCAGCAGTATATGATGCATTCTGTTTATTTTATAAATTGGTATGCTTGGAATATCATCAGCAGCATTCAAATACAAACCATGTATATGTTTTGACCAAGTTATGCCCTAAGAAAAATAAGAAGAATAAAAGAAAATGAACTTTTGAGAAAAGCAGCAGAAATATTTTAATATGATGCAATTTTAGCATTAATCAAAATGCAATTATTGAAAAAGAAAAATTGTAGTGACTTATTCTGCACTCAATGTAATTAGGACCAACTGATGGAACCAATAAAACTGTCAATTCATCATTGTTTCTGAATTCCCTTATGTAATTTTCCTTATTATGATTATTGAAATAATAATCCAGGAAACTCTTGAGACTATCCATACCTTAACAACTAAATCTAAATCAGTCTGAATCGGTACTTGATATATGTATTGCTATTCTTACCTCCATTTGTTTAGATTTTGTTTACCTTTGTAGTTGAAATTTCTGTCCAGCTGGATGAATGCAATCCCTATGGGCTATTGTAAAGTTTGAGGTCTATTTACAGGTGTTGTCCACTCGCCTTGGTAGGAAGCCTGAGGATATAGTAAAACTTGATGCCAATGAAAACCCATATGGGCCGCCACCAGAGGTAAGGCCAGTGTTCCTTATTTGATTTCTAGTTATAGAAAACTTGACTGGATTATCTGTTTGTCCACTGTTTTGGTGGCGTTATTCTCCATGCTTGTTTTTATTTTTTGCCTCCTGAATTTAATATAGGTTTCTGAGGCATTGGGCTCCATGAGGTTCCCATATATATATCCTGACCCTGAAAGCCGCAGGTTGCGAGCTGCGCTTGCTGAAGATTCTGGCCTGGAATCTGATTATATTCTAGCTGGCTGTGGTGCAGATGAACTGATTGATTTGATTATGCGGTTTGTAGCATGATCCTTCACAGAACATATCTCTGCCTGCTACATTTATCAGTTTTTGTATGCTTGAATTCATCGTCACTGCAGATGTGTGTTAGAACCTGGTGACAAAATATTGGACTGCCCACCAACCTTCACCATGTATGAGTTTGATGCAAATGTTAATGCTGCACTTGTTGTTAAAGGTTCATTCCTTCTTATATTTGTCATTTCTCTTGACTTTTGCATGGAGATTTATTCGCAGTTATTTTGTTCATCATTTTAATCTTTGTGAAAATTTAACCTCAGCTATTCTTTATGCTGTTATTTAATGGGTAATTATGCTTTATTCCAGATTGTGTCATGTATATCTAACTTTAGGGTGTGCTTGTTTGTGGGGGTTTTGGTGGGTTTTACTATTCTCAAATTTTTTTCCCCAAAAACATAAAATCAAACACATATTTTTCATTTATTATATTACACTAAAATTTAATTTTACATTCAACACATCTCATCAATACATTTATATCACATCAAACAACCATTTCAATTCAAACTTTTACTATTCAATACCCAAACCCAACCCAAAACCCCACAAATAAACACACCCTTGTTGGTGTATATTCCACAAAGAGGTCTATTAATCTTGCCACCATCTTTAAATTCTTTCAAAATGCAACCATTTGGCAGTACCCCGGAAATCAGACTTCAGCTTGGATGTAAAACGGATTGTTGAAGTTGTTGAGCAGGAAAGGCCAAAATGTATATTCCTAACCTCGCCTAATAATCCAGATGGAAGGTAATATGTCTTGGATTTATCTTCGTATGTAATTTTGTTGCAGAGTTAAAAGTTGTACTTCACCAATATTGTTGCTGCAGTATTTGTTCATTTTTACTTGTTAGAAGCAAAATTTTATGTCATATCTTTAAGGACTTCGTTTAATATGTTCTGTTCTTTTGTTTGGCAGCATAATAGATGGTGAAACTCTTCTCCAAATACTTAATCTGCCAATATTGGTTGTGCTGGATGAAGCATACATTGAATTTTCTGGAATTGAGTCCAAAATGAAATGGGTGAAGAAGTTTGAAAATCTAATCGTTCTTCGTACTTTCAGCAAAAGAGCCGGTATTCTTTTACTTTATTCTTTTAGGTGCTAAGCATAGATTGTATCATTATATGCTTTTAATTAATCTTGAAATTCGTAAGTGTAGGAGATGAAACACCATTTTCGAGTTGCCTCATTTGCTAGGAATTGCACCTTGTTTTATTTTGAAACCTTTGGAGGTTTGGTAGTTTGTTTTATATCAAATGTTCTTACATATTGAAAGTGCACACTTGCCCATACACATCAGTGAAGTTGAAATGTTTATGCAAACTATGCTATATAACTTTGCCAAAATTAGACCAATGCTTTGCTTTATTCATTGTTTTGCTATTGTTTTCTTTTTTCTGGAGGCTGGCTTAACTATAATATGCATGGATGATGGGTATAGATCTTTTAAGGTTTAATATATATATATATATATACATACTACTCTTAAACTTTATATTCTGGCATTTCAGGTTTAGCTGGGCTTCGGGTTGGGTATGGGGCATTTCCTCTGAGTATCATTGAATATTTATGGAGAGCAAAACAACCATATAATGTGTCTGTTGCTGCTGAGATTGCAGCATGTGCTGCATTACAGAACTCTGATTACCTAGAGGTACCTAGAGCAGCAGCTCACTAATACCGTCTTCCAGCTGAAGTACAATTCTCTTCCATCAAATATAGTGTTCACAATTTTAAATCCCAGACTTGATATGATGTTGATAATGGTTCTATAAAATTAAATGAAATGTGGGAAAGTTTGTCAAGGTTCTTTGATTTTACCTTTCATAAATAATTGAGGGGAATCAATCCTAAATTCACCCCTTTTTTTTGGTCTGGAATTATTATAAACATTCGGGGAAAGTGCATGGCTGAAATTGTTGATCCCCTTCGTGGAATCAATATTGTAATTAAGGTTAGCCTTTACTTAATTTATTGACCGTTGCAGTCCCTTTCATGCAAGTTTTTTGAATGTATGTTTTTCCAGAAAGTAAAAGTTGCGTTGGTTCAAGAAAGGGAGAGGCTCTTCAAGCTTTTGAAAGAAGTAGCATTTCTAAAGCCATTTCCAAGCTACTCAAATTTCATTCTTTGTGAAGTTACATCTGGGATGGATGCTAAAAAATTGAAGGTATTGGCTTTCCACTTATACTATATGTTAAATTGAAGTTATCTGTTTTATTTTATTTTATTTAATGTTAGTTTTATTTTAATGGGCGTGCAAACTGGTTGCACTTCCTCGTTCAAATGCCCGCCTTATCAATGAGGGCTGCCATGAACTATGTGCTTATGCCACTTAGATTTTAGGATACATTTGTTTGTGGGAGTGTTTTAGGATACATAGACTGTTTTCCTTTGATCTGGCATCTTTTTTTCTCATGGTTCTTTCTGTTTGGACAATTATGTTTTACAGGAAGACCTTGCAAAAATGGGAGTGATGATTCGCCACTACAGCAAGAAAGAGTTGGCTGGTTATGTCCGTATCTCGGTAGGAAAACCAGAGCATACAGATTCTTTAATGGAGAGCCTCAGGCGCCTGATATAGATATAAAGAGAGAGAGGAGAATCTATCTTGTAATGTAAGGCAAAGCAAGGTAAGGTAAGGTAAGGTTGGTCCATTCCATACCATTCAGCCAAATTCACAATTCATTGGAATTGTAGACAGAATAAGAATGTTGCTGAACATGTTGTGAACATATAATTGTGACCATTCTTGGTGGGCATTGCTGTTCAAGAATGGCTCCTGCTGAGTTCCATGGGAGGGAATTAAGTGGGTTCTGGTACTTCCTACTATAGTTGAATAGCTTTTTGGGTTGGGTGTGATTGATATCTATATATCAAGTGTGAAAAGAGTGCTGGAATGGAATGGAGCATTAAATAACATGAAGGAGTGGTGGGATCCGAAGGGGGCTAGTGAAATCAGTAATCTTGTACAATTTGAGCTGTTGATGGTGCACAAGGCAATGTTTCTCTCCGCATAGGCCACCACCATTAATGCACACTACAAACAAGCTCACAAATGACATATATTAGCTCCAAAGAAAGAGAACACAGGTCTAATAAGGTACATTAGCTTTTGTTTTATTTTTCCTTATCTTTTGGTAATTTCTATGCTGTGCTTTCTCTCATATATATATTTATTTAATTATTTGAACTCACTGTTGCTGCATATGATACAATTATTGCTTTATCATTTGTCTGGAAATTGGCTCTCTGAATGGAAAAAACATTTGTAGAATTATGATGAGTAAATAGAAATCTGTAAGTTGTTGTTGTTGTTGTGTATTATAATTATTATTATTTGGGTTAGAAGACTGTTTTTGAGAGGTAGCAAGAGCAATATTAATAATAATAAGAATAAATAGATGGGTGGTAAGTCCATGAATGTTAGACCAATACTGATGTTAATTTGTAGATGACCCATCCATATATATACATATATATCTGTAAGTCACCTGTGTAGTCAGTCTTCCTAGATTTCAGGCATTTACATCCCACAGAACAGAACAGCACAGCCCGCACGACCTCTGGCTCATCTTCTTGACCTAACGTTCCAACTATCCATTATTACGCACTACACTACACTACTACTGGTTGGTTGGTGCAATAAGCTGTTCCCGGGCTAGGGCTAGGGGCTACTTTATTTTTTTTGGACACAATCCTTGCAACTGTTAGATGTCGACTTCACACTTGCATTATTATTATTATTATTATTATTATTATTATTATATACCTTCTGAAACGTGGCACTTATTCTATTACTAGTGCTATAATTTCTCCCTTTCGGATATTTTGTCAGTTTCACTGTAGATATAAATTTATGAGGGTTATAATTAGTAAATAATTAAACATATAAGATAAATTATATAATAGTCCATTGTGCTTAGTAAAAATGTACAAAACGTCCTATGTTTTATATATGTTTTATTTATTGCGTGAAACTCTAAAAATTTGCATGAGCACCCTCTTTGTTCAAAATTGATGTTTGGTTCGAAATAAAGATCTAAATTACGTAAGTTTTATACAAATAAAATATATTAAATAATTTTTTTTGAATAAAATAAATAAATAATTGATCAATCATTTATTTTTATAATTTTTATAAAAATCAGACAACAATTTGTCTCCAAAAATTATAAATGAAAAGATTAATAAATTATTTATTTAATGCAAAAAAAATATTTAAGATATTTTATGTTTTTTATTTATATAAAATTTGCATAATTTAAGTATTAATTTAGAACTAAATATCAGTTTTGGACGAGAAGGGTGTTTCAAGCAAATTTTACATTAATCCAAGGAGGTTTTATGCAATAAATAAAACACAGAGTGTTTTTGTGCATTTTTACTAAAACACAAGGAGTGTTATATAATTTACCAAAAATATATTAGTGAAAATAATTGTTGTATAATAAAAATAATTATAGATTAAGATTAAAATAAATTATTAGTATAATTAAAATTAAAAAAAATTATAAATTAAATTTTTTAAAATAAGATTAAAGTGTATAATTCTTTAAAAAAGTGACAAAATAAATGAGACACACTTAAAAAAAAGTGAACATGAGAAGTGTGAACATGAGAAGTGAGACGAAGGAAGTAATATAATTATTTTTTATTTTATATATATGGACACACTCAAGGAGTTTTCCTTCAAAACATACTCTGTTGGTTTAATTATTTAATTAGAGACAGTGACGTATACCAATGAACTTAATAGTTCTTCTGATGACTGCCCGATTTTTTTGGGTGTGTTTATTTTGTGTGATTAAGGATGAATAATATTATTTTATTAAATCTTATTGTTGTAGTTTAAGATATCAAAACACAAAATTGATCAAAATATGATGTAATAGTACACTAATTAGACATAATTAATCATTTTTAAATAGATGAGATTAACTTATTTCAAATAATATTTGTACTAAAAATTTATTATTATCCTATATTTAATCTAAGTATATAAAGTAGATATGATATACTAATTAGTTAAAATAATATTCTGTCTGTCACAAATATTATGTAATTTTTATCTTTTGGGTCGTAGAACATTTGTAAAATAGAAATAATTAAATATATTTAATTGATATACCGTACTTTATCTCATCATGACATTTAAATTTAAAAAATTATATATATTTTTTACATCATTTAATTTTTAAATTATTCTATTTAATATTATTCACTTAAATTTTTCAGTAAAATAAATATTGCACCATATTTGAAATTGGAAGAGTATTATGTATTATAATATCATCCAATAAAGTTAACACATACTTTTCTTCAATGTATTGTGATGTATGTACACATACCGTACTTTGATTTTGAATTATGATAGATTATATTTTGCATACATATGTGATATGCATATATTTCTATTAATTTTGTGACGATTTAGATGAAAGTCAAAGGATCAAGGTTGTTACGGTGACTTTTTTCGGCCCGACTCATGAGAACCACCGTGACAATAAAATGGCCAATATGTTAAACTGTGTATAAAATTATATATGTATTACGTGTCATAAGTATTAAATTCTAACTAGACAAACAAGAATAAAAAATTAAATTTAAAAATTAAAAATAAATAACTATATAATAAATACACTAATATAAAAATAAAAAATAAAAAATAGCACTAATAGAGTGGAATATGATTTTGTATCACTAAAACACATTAAAAAAAAAAATAAAAAAATAAGGGTGTGTTTTTTTGTGGGTTTTAGTTTTTGGGTCTAGATTTTTTAAGAATTTGAATAATTATTTGATGTGATATAAATAGAGATTGACGTGATGTTTTGAATGTAAAATAAATTTATAGTATAATATAAAAAAGAAAAGTAATTGTTTGATGTGATAGTTTTGAAGAAAAAAAAAATATGAATCGTAAAATTTCGTGATAAAACTCACAAAAGAATAAAACCTAAATAGTTTGAATATATGAATAAAAATACTCATGGTGGAACAAAGGGGTGGTGATGAAGCAAAATAATGGAGATGTTGGACAGAGCGATCGGACCATATTAATGAGACCACGAGAGAGCAGGGGAGAGAGAAAGGACAAGTTAAGATTCTATTGGGTTCAGGGATTAGGTTGATAACGTAGGCGTGGTTTGGGGCCTGGGCTGACCTAAGCAGGAGACTCAAAATATTGTAAGCTACCCTAGACAGTGTCATGGCATCTTCGAAGTGTCGCCAAGTCTTTGCCAAGCTATCTTAGTAGAATCATCTTATCTTTCTCTCAACCTTTTTGCGTTCTTCACTCTCAAATTAAAACAACAAACTACTAGTATAAGAGTGGTTCTTCTTAAGAGATCTATGAAGTAAGCTGAGTGAAATCTAACTCAAGTAAGAGCCCATCATTTTCAATTATATCTACAAATGAATTTTGAAAGACTTTTTTTTTTAGAGAATTAGCACCACCGATGTTCAAAGGTGAAGATTATTATTTGTGAGCTATAAGAATGGAAACTTACCTAGAGACAAATGACTATATTGAATGTTGTTTAGCCGTTTAGGTGTAGGTGTGTGAATAGTTCAAGTTAGGTCAGATAAGATTTTAGCTAAATAAATTAGAACTGTTATAGAAAGTCCAGTAAACTTTAAAAAAAAAAAAAAAAGTTAAAAGCATGACCCACAAGCTTATTTAAAAGCTTACATAATAATTTTTCTCTTGCAAATTCATTACTAATACTCTTTTCGTCATAAAAATACCTGCTCATTTGATCGGACACAAGTTATTTTTAAAAAAATAGCTAAAAATATAAATATTTTTTTAAAGATAAATAAATAGTAGAAAAAGTGGTCATTTTTAAGATGACAACTAAAAAAGAAAAATCAGAATAAATAGATACAATTATTATATGTATTAAAATAAGTTGAAAGAGTCCATATTTTCAATGACAAAACTAATAGTTTCAATTTATCCTATAAAAATGCAAAATATAATATTAATATTTTGGAAAAAATATTGTATTACTGTTCATCGTAAAAAGCAACAGAAATCATTATTAAGAACTGAGTCCGCAAAGAAAGCTAATAGACCATTGTGGAAGGGGTGTAACTCAAGCGATTGAGCTCTCCCTCTCTACATGCTTTGAGGTTACGGGTTCGAATTGCATAAGGTGTTTTTGTGTGTGAGTGTGGGTGTGTAAGTTAAAAAAAAAAAAGGATAAATCAATACATAATAGAATTAGAAAAAAAAAAAATGAATTGTAACACCCCCAGTTGACTCATATTGGAAATGCTACCGCCACACTGCATCATGAGGTCGTCACCTCCTACTTCGAGCCCCACAATATAGTGTTAGGGCTAAAATTAACCATAATTTTACAAACAAGCTCCTAAACAAGAGGTTTTCCGGTTAAAAATTTACATATAATACAATAGATGTAAGTTCCCTCATTCAGCCCGTCTTTCTATATCCTGAGACATCCCCTGTCTCGGATGTGCCATGCATACCTGAAACAAATATTTTTCTTAAAAGCAGTCTAGAATTAAATCCATTTTAAGAACTAACGTGAAATATGTCATGTGTGAACCTTTTAAAATAGAGTCTAATTCCCGTTAATCATAAAATACGTGTAATGTCATGCTAATAGTGAAATGATGCAACAAAGATATTAAACTCGACAACAATGCACATGCACATATATATATACATCCGTCGAAGTGAGCAGTCGGAATAACCTCGGGTCCATAATAATAGGCTCACTGCATCTGTCTAAGTGAGCAGCCGGAATACCCTCGGCCCCGTAATAACAAACTCAGTAGACCATCATCAATAAATAGCCAGAAAATCATTGGCTCAAGGTAGGACCTGATAAACCCATAATAATATAACGGTCATCCGGTCACTTCCATAAACCCACCATACGACTCCCACAATCAATACATGGATAGCCAAACGTTGTCGCCATTAACCACAAGACGCTCCATAGTCTGTGATAGCGAAGATAGGACCCCCACTGACTAGCCATATCCCGTGTAATATAGTAGAATCCGTGCAACCTGGAATCACCCAAGGGAAACCCGGAAACTCTACTCCTCCTCGCGCGTCCTAACGGGATCACGTTTGGAGTTTGGCATATGATCCTAAATTACCGGTAGACCTCACTAGGTGCAAATCTAATTAGTGGAACAACACCGAACACGAATGATTAGACCAAATACGTCTCAACTACAATGGGTCTAATCCCTGAATGACCGTGCGACTAAGTCACTCAGTTGTCCGACTACTATC